AATAACTATACAACTTGTAAGAAATCGCCAAAAGCATTCATAACATAATATATCCAATTTCTCAATCTGGCTGTACTTGAGTGATCTAAGAATATCATTTCCATTTTAGACAATCAAGATGTCTTACAAGTTGTGATGAATACATATTACTTGCACAAGATCAGGTAGAGATCTGATGCAGAAAATTGTGACCAAACCCTCAATACACAAGTCAGAACTATTGCAACAAACATACACGTCAGGAAACTCTAGTTGGCACTTCCCCACAGCAAAATGGTAAACTTGTGCAATTTGAATTGGGTGTTTAATCCTTTTTTCTCCCTCTGTGAGCAGAGTAAGGACTGTAGTTAGTGAAACAGTACATGTTTTGCTTGAAGAAGGTACATGGATCTCATAGCAGATCGTAGAAAAGCTATGCACACAACTGGACCAAAATCACATTTAACAATATAAGCAGCTTCCTAATATTTCATGTACCTTATCCTCTTGACTCATTCTTCTTTAAATATTTCAAAATGGGGAGAAAGCAGGGATAATATTTTTTTCTGACCTACTGTTTCAGTTCAAATTGTCCTGTCTCATTGCATCATTGTGCAAGAGAGAAGCAATAATTAGCATTCTCAAGACCTTCAAGGTGGTTCTATCACACAGTCTTTTTGCCTGTAAAAGCATTTCATCCATCCCCATGAAGGCATTTGCTTGATTGGACCCTTTCAGTGAGTACACAGAAGGTCTTGCTCCACTAATATGAATGGTTAGCATCAATATGGAAGCCAGCATTGGAAGAATAATCTGCTACGAACTGCTAACCAAGCCTCTTTCATTTCAGCAATGCTCACACAAATGTTTTCTCCCCCCCCCCCGCCCCCAAACTCTACTAAATGAACAAGTGCTGCATAGGAACAGATTTTACAAAGTTAAATATAAATATTAACAACACATTATCAGAGACATTCCTTAATTCATGACACATTTTTAGGTATATAAAAGCAGTTTTAACTCTGTGTCTGAGTTCACATAGTGCAGGAAGCTATGGTTTGCTTAACCATGCTTGATTTAATCAGTCAAAATTGGCTGGGTTCACCCAACATGCTAAGCCACAAATCATGGTTTACAAAATGTAATGCCAAGATTCATATAATATATTAAACTAAAACCAGAAAGACACTATTTTGACTTATCATGGTATGAATGCAGCATCTGTGACCTTGCCTTCTCAGAAAAACATTCTTGCAAAGCTTAGAAATGTTGGGCTATAACACACTTTTCAACACAAAAACTCTTAGAAATTTAAAAACTGATAAATGCCCATTGTTTGGCCATACACAATGTGCCCATTTTTGTCTGAAACAAGAAACAATACATTAAGTAATCTATTATATCTAAACATTTTTTAAGGATCTCATTTTAATTTACCACAAGTACAACTAGTACAAATAAGAGAAAGCACACAAGCAAAGAGACTTTAAATTCCAGCATTTCAAAGCAATCTTACAGTTTTTACATATTGGAAATATGTTCCAGATTGTAATCGTTCTGTGCCAATGCAAAATATTAAAATGCTTATTCAAACATCCAAAAATATGTTTTCAAAAGTTAAAAAATGAAGTGTTTTGTATTAGAATTAAATAATCAAGAGGACTTATATTTCTGTGATATATTGGAGCCAAATGTATTTTCACTATGCTTTTGGCCAGTAAAAATCAGAAATTGTTAGGCACAATTGAACATGGAAACATTTTCAATGTCCTCGCCTCCCTATTCTTGAATTATGTCATTGTGACTTTCTGGGCAACTCTTTTATATGGAACAGAAGGGAAAAAAAATCCTCAGTCTTTCTCTTCAAATAGTTGATTGGAAATATTGAAGATATTTGCATATGGAAGGGTATTTAAAGCCAGAACTCCTAGAGTGTGAGTTTATATGCGTGAATGGAGAAGGAATAAGTAAGTAAATAAATAAATAAGTAAGTAAGAAAGTAAGAAAGTAAACAAACAAACAAACAAACAAACAAACAAACAAACAAACAAAGCATCTCTGATTACAGAATAAGCATTCATCCATGTAGCACAGTTTAAATGCATGAGGATATATTGAACCGGAATTTCAAATTTGACCTAGATATAGATTTGATTTATACATTGTATTATTATACCTTGATCTAATTAACAATCTGTAATTGATTAAGTTCATATATGTGATATGAACTTAATCAATTACAGATTGTTAATTAGATCAAGGTATAATAATACAATGTATAAATTGTATAAATTGGACACCCATTGTCCAAAGCCATAAGAGAGGTGGAGGAAATGACTGGTTTGGGTTACTTCTGTTATTTAAATTCAAACTGGGTGGCTTGAAACAGAGTATATCACATAAAAACATGCTCTTTTTCAAGCCACTCAGTTTGAATTTAAACAACAGAAGTAACCCAACACCAGTCATTTCCCCCATCTCTATTGTGGCTTTGGAGAATAAGTGAACTAAGTAACAGTGCTGTGTGTCATTTAATCCTATTTTCCCAATTTATTTATTTAATAAATTTAATTTATTTAATTCCCAATTTATTCCCAATTTAATTCCAGTTAGATTTGGACTACAGTTCTTGAAATTCTTCAGCTGTACATCGTATCACCTATAGAGATGTGTACGAACCAACTGTCAGTGTATATTGCAAACTCAGAGTAAAAGGAGCAGGAAAACCTATGATATTATTCAGCATGGTTTTATATCCTCTTAGGAAGTCTCCCTGCTGATCAATGAACAGCTGATCAATGATTTTTTTTGTGATACCAAGTTCTAGTTTTCCCTTGCTATTTGGTGTGGATTTGGTAATGTGCTAAGACATGAAAAGTTCGTTCTTGATTGCCAGTAAGTTAATGAAAGGTTTTTGCAATATGTTTTTCCATATATGTGATTAAGATCCCATTTGATAAATATACTCTAGTAGTTAATCATAGACTATGATTTTTACCAAAAAGCTGCCATGGTAGGTATGACCAGTCACAAAAACCTATTTATCAGAAGGTGATCTAGCTCTTAGGCTAGTCTCTATCATCCCATTGTGTCCTTTATGAGGTCCAAAGCCACTACTGTTGTTTCAATGATTTATACCCTACTTTTTTGGGGTATATAAAGTGGTATGCAAAGTGCTCTTTCTTCCAATTTTTTTCCTACAACAATTTAGTAAGCAGATTAGGCTGAGAGAATGACTGGCTCAAAGTCACTGAAACATCTATGATTAGACTAGAATCTCCTTGGGTCTGCTTGGCATTAGTTCAACACCATAACTATTATACCAGGGGTAATCAACCTTGGCTCTTTTATGACTCGTGGACTTCAATTCCCAGAATTCCTGAGCCAGCTTAGCTGGCTCAGGAATTCTGGGAGTTGAAGTCCACGAGTCATAAAAGAGCCAAGGTTGACTACCCCTGTATTATACCATAGTTTGGTGGTTTTATGTTGTATTGTTTCACATATGTTTTTAAATTAATTGCTTTAAAAATAGATGGCAGTTCCTGAAAAGTTTGTATGGCCTATTGCTCATGAACTCCATGTCCAAAAAGGAACATGAATGTTTAAATCAGAGTTCGATCATGTCTTTTCATATGCTGGAATTTCCTTCAAGCCTCAGTAGGGCCATATTTAATTAATATTTAGTTTTTCCCTTTTATAAGTACTGAAGATGACATACATAATGCAATTAAATCATCAACAGATTCTTGACTGACTTGGGGCTCCTAAAACCTTGAAGGAATCTTTGAGATAGGAAAAGGCAAGTCTGAACAGAGATTCAGTCTTGACAGCAACTTGATAAATTAAAGATTAAGATTGTTAGAAGCTGAAAAAAGAAGGACTAAACTAAGTCTTTTTCTAAAATTCTGGAAACTCTTTATAGACATTTGGTCAACATTTGGACAGAAATGAGAATGATTTTTGGAATTGTGAATGGAAAAGTGGGTGGAGTTAGTGAAATACAATAAATTGACTGTTAACAGAGGATTATGAAGTTTAATTTACAGTAGCTGTTGGTTTTACCTGTTAGCTATTTTTATATATAGCAGAAATATTAGTGGGATGGATAAGCATTGTTGTAGAAATTCATAAATTGTGTACCTGCTTCGCAAGATGGGCAGGAACTATTATTGTTATCTGTATTCAGCTTGAGGGGACAATTTATGCATATGTCTGTTTTGTTTTGTTTTTCTTTTTCTGCACTATTTTATGTAGTCTTGTTTAGTTTAGCTTTATTTTGTTTTTGTATTTTTCCCTTTTTTGGAGTTTGTATTTTAATATTTTGGGGAAAAAAAGGATATTTATTTGTAACAAGAAGCTGGGGAGTAAGATTTATGAAGAAAGCAGCTTCAGTACCTATTAAAAAAAACCCAAAACCAAAAGAAATAAACCACATTTGCTCCTCGTCCTGAAATTCCTTGTAATATGATATTTATGCCTGTGAATCTGGCAAGAAAAAAACTTCCTGTGAATATCAGGACTTTGATTTTGTCTGGCATTCTAAGGCTTCCTTCCTTTACTTTTTTTGCAATATTAGTGAGTGATTGCGTTTGTCTACTGATTGCGTTTGTCTACTGACTTTGCTTATTTATTTAAATATTCCAAGTAAACCAGTGAACATTTTAAAACTTTAGTATCAACGTACATCAGAAAACCGGCTCCTTTCTATATATCAAGGATTCACCTACCTTGGCCTTTGTGGTATGTAAACATTGTCATAATTGAAATACTTTTTAAAAGGAAGTATCAAATAGATTTAATTTGGGGCATTGTGACATGGATCTCCAAACCTTATAAATGTGCCTGATCCATACATATAGAGAAGACAGAATTCTGTCCGCTAATAAAACACAACTGGAAGTAAAGAATAAGAAACAGGGACATGATACTCTAGAGGCACAGCAGATAAAAACGATGATGATGATGTAGGTCATGAGTTAGACCCAAACCTCCAGTTGTATATGGTTATGGTGCGAATGTTACACCGCTGTTCAATCTAGGGTGTGAGTGGTGGTTTTGGTGATGAACAGGATCCTTGACTGTCAAAGCTGGTTGCTTGGCCTGGCAACTGGAACAGATGATACATTTTAAGAAAATAAGAAATGACCTACTGAATCAAGGTCCACGAAGTCCAGCATCCTGCTTCTCACTTTGGCCAATTTGATGCCTCCAGGAAGCCTACAAGCAGAATACCAAGGCAATAACCCTCACCCACTCATTGCTCCACACCCACGGTACCCTGAATAAACTGGATCTACATACAGGCATCAGGAATTTTAGCCGTCAATAGTTTCAACTCTCTACCTAGATAGTGTATTCAGAAAGCCATTTAATATGTAGAAAGAGATTGTGTACCAGTATTGGTGCAGGTGCAGAAAGGATTTAAAAATAGTTCTGTCCCAGTGCAGTAATTGCTTAGTTTTCTTAAAAAATAAATGAAACATTGGGAGTTATACTCACTGGACTTCTCTAATCAGTTATTTGCTGACTGTTGCTCATGGAAGAGTCTCTATTCTCCTACCTTAATCTTAGATATTTGAAAATTATTTTCTAATCTCTCCTGCAGTTGATTTTCTACTTAGAAGTAGCAGAAGGTGCTGGTATCAGTGTGATTATTTTTTTATTATAGGGGGTCCTCACTCACTGACCACAATTAGAGAGCAAGTCCAACATGGTTGTAAAATGAAAAATGATGAGATTGCATTTAGCTTACAATGGAAGTTAGTCAGTTCCAGCTGCAGTCATTAAATGAATTGCCACAGGTCACATAACTGTGACTTGCAACTTCCCGCTGGTTTCCCCATTAACTTCATTGGAGATCAGCTATGAAGGCTGCAAATTGCAATCACATGACTTTGGGATAGTGAGATAATCATAAATGTGTGCTAGTTACCAAGTAACCAAATTGTGATCTCGAAGCCACTGTGATGGCCAAAACTTCAAGGATCAGTCATAAGAATAAGTGTCCTTGTTCAGAACTGTTGTAATGTTGAATGGTTGCTGAAGAAATGGTCAGTAGGCAAGGACTATCATTCTGTATCTGAAGCTGCTCTGGTGGCCCGTAGGGCAGTTCCCAATCTGAAAAAAGGTCTATGAAGAGAGACCCCATCACCCCAATATCTCTTGGGATATCATGAAAGCACTGGAGGCAGGGAGGAGGCTGAACACAAGAGAGTGTGATACATGGAAAGGCATGATATTCATGCACCTCTCTTGGCACTTTACTGCTAAATAAGTACTAGAACACATTCCAGCTGAGCTTCCCTTTTTTTTAAAAGACATTGCCAAAGCAATTGTTCTTTTATCAGACTGAAGCAGAATTAACGGAGAAAAATTGCAGGAGAATCTATATGGGGAGTAGGGTAAAAACATGGGAATTAGCTACTTCATGGAAATATTTTTATCCTTACCTCTACTAACGGATGCCAGTGAGTTATTGGTTTGCGTGGATATGCCAGCATTTCATTCCAGTGGTCTCTTCCAAGTCCTTCTGCATCCAGTCCAGTCCTACATACTCCGATCACTTCATTGTGCCCTACTCTAGGATTAAAGAGAAGGAAAATTTGTCCACAGAACAGTATATACTTGTGATGGATTTTATTTTTATTTTATTTTTAAATTTTATGCGGCCCATCTCTCTACTGAGTGACTATAAGGAAGTGGCTGGAGGTGGAGGTAAGACAAAAGACAATATAACCAGTGTTGGAAAGGAGACAGAAGAAGAGAATTAGGATAGTTACTCCCTAGAATCTCCCAGGTTATATCCATTAAGTTAAGACTTTAGTCTGGCATGATTCTGGTTAGATTCTGAACTTTGGCTAGATTGTTCTAGTTATTCTTAGGCTGGGGCTGAGAATGCTGATGTAAAACTGCAGATGGAATAACTATCTTTTGTATCAAGAATATGTAGAATTTATGAGTTGCATGAATGAGTTGTGCAAATTAAGAAAAATGCAATTTCCTTGTTTTATATATTTTTTCTCTTCTACAGTGACTGGAGAAGGTCAGATAGATACAGGACATTGCCTCACCTGTTGGCACCTGGAAATGTTATTCATTGAATTCTTTCAAGTTCTGAGATTTCATCAAATCTTTCTAGGCTTTTTAGATGTGAGAATAATAATGCTTCAAAGGATAATACTGCCTTTATAAAGTCTAGAAAGGTACTTTAAAATATACAATAAAAGAGTTGAAGTTGCTGCAGCTTATTTCCTTCCTATTCAATTGCAGTCCTCACATCTCTATGTATCCACTATCACAGTGCATTTTGGGGGTTTGCTGTAGCATCTGTTGTTAGGGACCATTTTAAATATGTCCTTTGACCATTTATCAAATAATCTCTTAACCATGAGAACTAGACTTATTTTGCCTGTTTCTAAGGCAAAGTTGTTTCTAAGGTCCAGAATCTGGAGTTGGCAATCTTTTGAGTTTATGTTGTCTGAAAATGAAACACTAACACTTATTTTCATGGTAGGATATCTAAGTATAAACCATATATGACCAAAACAGTAATTAATGATGTTGGTCAAATAATACATCTTTTTTTTTCTTTTAAAGCTGCCATTTATTGAACTATGTTTGCCTTCCTGTAGTCTGTCTGATCCCTGAGATTACACTAGATGCCATGGTCTGGGTGATCCCACAGACCATTCCTGGTGGAGAACTTGGTGGTAGAAAGCTTGCTGCAGATTGTCACAATTACCAGCCAAATTTATACTAATTTGTACTAATTTTATTGCCATCATATATGCAAATTAGAATCCTCAAATGCTTATCAATCAGCAGGCTTTGAGATTTGAGAAATGTGGAGATATGCAGATAGCACCTGTTGAGAACACTTGAAAATGAATCTTTTTGGACATCATTCATCAGCTGTAAAACATAACTGTACAAATCCAGGAAAAGATACAGATGCTTTAAAGGTAGAAGCAACATGCACATGTGTTCCAAATCATATTATGCCCTCTAAATTTGGATCTTTCACAGTCCAAAATAATCTAACGAAGGGAGATTATGATAAGTAAGGGAGGAATGATAAGTATTTTGATAAAAGACATGGTAGAAGATCAGACAGAGCAGTAAATAGGAGTCCAGGCAATGACCTCTAAGCTGTAGATCCCATGTTAATATACTTGTAACATTATATAAATATATTCAAAAGAGATATTTATTCATTTCTTTGGAAAGAGGAAAATTCAACATTACTACCGGTCATAATCCATGACAGCAATGGAGAGGCTGACTTGATCCACGTTTTCAGGAGGAATGTCAAAAACTATAGCTTCACTGTACACTGGGTTGAGAGTGTTCCTCTTTGTGGTTGTTTTCCTCTTTTTCAGGCGTCGACCATCACACATCAGAGATACCTTGACATAGGGATCTGAGATAACAGGAAGGGAACTGAACAACTAGAAGTGCATGGACATTTTTTCCAGCAGTCAAAAATACAAATAATCAGCCAGTTTCATCTAGGTATCACAGTGGGTGGCTGTAACCTCTTTGATCATGCTTGAATAGCCCTTTCAGAAAATTCAGCATCAGGGTCTTAAAATCCTGATAAGGCTCTGTTTCCCCACCAACTCCACCCAGGTGGGCTAAGTGGAAAGGCACCTGCTCACCTGATGAACCAGTGATATCCATTGCTTTGAGATTTCGGCATTTGATGACTGTGAGGGTCATCCTCCCTGCTGTCGGCAAGTAGCAAAGGGAAAACATGATTTCCCCCAGGTCAATGCTTTCCTGTAAACGTATTCCAGAAAAGTACATTTGTTAAAACACATATACAGGATCTTACTTTTATCTCATTTTTTTTCTCGCTGGAAATCTTCCCTAAACTGATATTATTTGAACTCTGGTATGTAGTACAGAACTGGGAAATCTGTAGCCCTTCCATATAGAGTGACTGGATAGCGTAGCGATTAGACTGCCTTTGACAAGGAAGAGCAGGGTTCAAATTCAGGCTTGTTCCACCCTAAATCAGTTGGGGGTCCTTGAGCAAAGACCCCCTTATGCTTCATCTGCCTACCTCAAATATGAGTGACACCAACTAGAAGAGTCATGCCAGCTCAGATGTTGCCCAGATTAACAAGGTCCATGTCAGACGTTGAAGTTCTAGGATAATCTGATGATAAGTAGGCTACTAGAAGAAACCATGCATGGGGGAGACAAGGAAACTTGGAATGCTACTACAATAGATCTAATGAGAGGAGATCTGGGAGAGTGGCTCTAACCGATCCTAGGAACAGAGCTTTTTGTCCAGAAGAGTGCAGAGCTAAGATATTGTGCAGAACCCACAAACTCTCAGACCTCTGGTAGAGGACCTAAGATTGAGGAAGACATATACCAACTGTTGGGTTATGTGTGTGTGTGTGTGCACGTGTGTGCATATGTGTGTGTGTGTGTGTGCAAGTGTGCATGATTTTTATTTATTATCAATTTTTTTAAAAGAACAAAAACAATGCAAATTTTGAAAGAGAAAGGTATGGAAAATAAAGAAAAGTAATAAGTGGAGAAAAAAATACAAAGAAAGAAATACAGAAGAGAAAGGGAAAAAAAGGAAAAGCAAAGAAAAATTATAACAAAGAATAATTGTATTTATTAGCGACTAATGAACCTTTTGCTGAAAAAATGAATGCATGATTTATGGGATTGTTAATTAGAAAGGGTAGACTATGGAAAGAAGGAAATAATGTAACGTCAGAAAGAGAGGGTAAAATATAAATGAATTTGTAACTGCGGTTAAGCAGATTGGAAGCTTAGGAAATCTATAGCTCTTCCAATACTATTTGCCTCCAATTGTTGTTAGCACTACTGAAGGCCAGTTATTATGGGAATTATATGGCAATATTCAATGGGCTATAGTTTTGTCTGAATGAATTAATTGGGGCATTAATTTTTTAAAAAATCATAATTTAAAAGATAACCTTATTTCAACCTTCCCCTCAATTGTATTAGATTTCTGTCTTTCATAAACTGAGATGATAGTGATAAAAATCTCCATAATTTTTTAAAAAGACACTGCTTTGGTCCGAGAATGTGGACTGTAGTTTCATTTTAGAAATAAGAGACTCCTTGATCCATTCTTATAAACATTTTTACAGAAGCGCCATTAATTTTGATGGGAGTTATTCCCAGTTAAATGCATATATAATTACATCTATACCCTGACATTTGTGCATGAGAGAAACTAATTCTGCTTTTTAATAAAGGGCATCTCAATAGCTTTGGATATAATTCTTTATAAGAAAACATGTTCAAAAGACAGGGTGTCTATGGGGAGAAGGTTAAAAAAAAAGTCAAGATGTCAGCCACAACTGCTCATGCCCTTTTGTATATGTGTAACATATGTGTAACACATGCCAAGGGGAAATCATGCAGATTTATTTAATTCATCCACCTCCCCTTATAGAGATAGCACTAAAAGGATGTAGTTAATATTGGCTATATTTCTACAATGCTAATAATTGTATTCCTCATTTTAACTATTAAATGCATTCATCCATTTTATACCTGGTACAAAAATGCGTTGATCAGTGATGTTTTCACCCCCCAAAAATTATTATTTTTCTTTTTAATGACCCTGTAATCCCTTAATTCAGAGTAGAATTGGGGTGACTGGATGGAGCTGAGTGTTTATTGGCCAGATGCCTTTCCTGATGCCTATGTGGAGTTCACAGCACATATTTTTAATTTGCGACCTAAAAGTGAAACATCTCCTGCTACCTGGGATTGAACTCTCAACCTCTGAGTGAGAGGCAAATGTCTTTACTACTAGGCCACCACACTATTCTTCTTAAAAGATTAAAATATTCCTATGAATAAATATGTGTTCATGGCAGGGTGGCTGGGGACATCAAATGATGTCAAATCATTGTCAATTTCAGGAACGTTTAGTTTGTGTTGCATCAGATTCATGTAAAAGGCAAACAGAAGTGGGAAAGGAAACTTTGAATTTGGCAGTATAACAACTTGACAACTGGGAGACTGCTGAGAGCTGATGAACACATCCAGCAAGGGGCTGTAAGATTTAATTGCCTCTTCATTCCAGCAAGTAGCACAACAACCCATAATGATTTTTGCAAATACACCAGGATACAGGACAAGATGAGTCAGGAAGAGTCTTTGAAAAACATTTGGTTGCTGGAGACTTAACTGGTAGCTACACTGATCATCCATTAATATGTTAGATAGAAGTTCCTGACTCTGATTCTGCTATATATTATTGTGAACAATGCTGGCATAAAATTGGGCTTAATGCTTCGCAATCGTGACAACTTGAAGATGTATGGACTTCATTTTCCAGAATTCCAGAGTCAGTCATGCTGGCTGGGGAATTGGGAGTTGAAATCTATATGTCTTTTAGGTTGCCCAGATTGATAAATATTGACTTAAAGTAAATTAACCATGATGAACATAGACAGATTCATTAGCGGTACATACAGTAGCAATACCCAGAGCTTACTAGGGTTAATTATTCTCAGTTTATGTTATATAATATTAAATTTTATGGATTTTTAGACAAAGGTCAAAAAGAATCCTCAAACTAGTGCTTAGCTCATAAATCATACAAAATTGCATTGATATATTTGTAAATTATAAAAACAATTTTATAATTATAAAATTATAAAAGCAACACCTTTTATGCCTATGAGGAATAAAAGCAATACAAAAGTATGTTTTGCTGTGTATGATTTTTTTGCTTTTAAATATCTTATATAATATATCTAGAACATGGGCTGGATTTAATACAGCTATCAGAGAATCCAGATGGACTGTAGCTCCTTCCTGAGTATGTATTTGATCAGGTTTAATGATGGAGGTCAGAGAAACCATGGTTCAGATGAATTCTACAGAATGTGGCATGAGGTTTAAAAATCTAGAGCAGTGGAAGTTATTAGATCTTTGAAGGACTGAATTTTTCCTGAAATCAGGATGGTTTAGCAGCATCAGCCAAAATGGAATAGCTAAGGGGACTGACCACTGACCTCTGCTGTCTGATCTAAAGCTGTCTGATTTAATGAAAAGAAGGACTAGGGGTGACATGATAGCAGTGTTCCAATATCTCAGTCAAAAAAGCCTTTTCCACTTTGAATGAATTATAAGTATTGGCCCACTCCACACTGGATGAAGGCTTTGCCAGATCTTAGTGTACAGTCCACAGGGACACCTAAAGTTGCTTTTCCAAAAAGCAACTGGACTTTCTTGGTTTTTTTCCTTGAAAACGTTTCACTTCTCATTCAAGAAGCTTCTTCAGTTCAGAACTGAAGAAGCTTCTTGGATGAGAAATGAAATGTTTTCAAGGAAAAAAACCCAAAGAAGTCCAGTTGCCTTTTGGAAAAACAGCTTTGGGACAATCATGACCTGGATAAGATGATTTGGTGATTGAGAATCTCCATAGACTACAGTCCACAGGGACAGTATTCATTCATTATATTATACCAAATCTAAATTCCATTGTCCTTAGCATGATTCATAGGCTGAGTGTATGTTTCCAAAGCTTTAATTAAAGCCTAGCTCACTGCATTCAGGAGCTTCACAGCTGGATTATGGATCTCCCAATGCAAGATCTGCACTCTCTCACTTCACTCTTGTGAAGTAGAAAGCTTGTGATTTAGAATTCTAATAAAAAAAGAAAAGAAAGAAGAAACCTTTGTTCATTAGCACCACATCAGGAAACAGGCACAGTAAGCTGGACAATGTAATTGGCTTTGTGTGCCTCAGAGAGCGGAAAGGGTTCCTTCTAAAGTCAGAATGTTATGCTGCATATATATTAGGAACTCTTACTCATCTTAAAAGTCACTCATTTGAAAGAACCAGTTATAAGCACCAAATCTCTATGGCCATGCCGAGTTTTAAAAGTGAAAATCTTGGTCATTCTGTGTAACAGTGAACTATGATAATATATTTAAAAAGCCATCTCTCTTTAAATGCTAAGTAACTGCATGCTGCTGGAGCTATTTATATCTTGATCATTAAAGGTTACACTTAGTCTAAGCTGAGTCAAGTGTATAATAGACTTTCTTTCCCCCATTGGCTCATTTCTTCTACAACCATTTTTTTCCATCCATGATCAATGCTGGAGAAATTTGATGATAATTAGGTTACACAACTAGCTCAGTAGTTCTTAGGATGGTGTCCTGAAATCTGGATATCTCTAAAACAGGGGTGTCAAACTGCCGGCCCGCAGGCTGGACGCGTCACCAGGAAATTGCACCCACCCCATTGCCAGCAATGGGGAAAAAGCTCCGATACATTGGCCAACATCACGTGACGTCGCGAGTTTGACATGTCTGCTCTAGAACAATGCTTTTCAACCTCAGCAACTTTAAGATGTTTGGACTTCAACTCCCAGAATTCCCAAGCCTCCTTGTATAGTATCATAGGTCTTTGGAATTTAAATCCAATTATTATGCATGTCTTCAGCTCTGTTTTTAGATATGTCTTGGAAAATCTCCTCTCCAAAGCTACCTTTGATTCCACATATGAGCATAACAACTTTGCAATTTCTGAATGTTATAGCATGATCATCTGTGGATGATTTTTTAACTAAATCCAAGGAAGGGACGAATTATTTTCCTCTCTTTCCACATGTAATGGTTTTGACACTAATAAAGGAGAATATTTGTAGCTCAGGGTTGACATGAGGTGTGTTTGGTGTTCTTTGAGCTTGGCTGTTTTCTTGTAGATGTTTCATTACCCAAACTAGGTAACATCACTAGTCTAGGCTTTGACACTGGGTTCCCGTAGGCTTTGATTTTTTTTTTAAAGGAGCAACTTCTTGTTAAATGAAATCTAACCGTGGTCATTGCTAAGACAGTACAGATTGCAAACCTAAACTGTTTCTGTATTTTCTGTTTTCTACAGCCTCAGAAGTAATTTTTCCATAACTCTGTCCATATAAACAAGAATAAGGTTTATCATCAATAATAGATTGACCTAAGAATGAAATCAATAAGATACTAATCCATATTTCCACTTACCTGAACTGGATAAAGACATCATAAAACTCAATTCTGTGACACCCCAGGCTCACCCCAGATTTAATGTAAGCACCATTTACTAACATTAGTAAATTATGGGTTCAATTATGAGTTGATTTGGAATGGGGTTACTTACACTTAATTATAATTCTATCATTAAGTTCATATTTTTGTTAGTATTAGCCATCTTCAACACCTGGTCTAACATAAAGAAAGTGAAAGTAATAAATGGTAAAATAAGGGGACTGAGGTATATTTCAGTAAAATGAAGGCTATAGGAAAATGAAAAGGTTAATTGGATACAGGATTAAAGTCTTTCTATGAGTCTATACCTGAAACTTTATTTTTCTCTCTTTAGAAGAAAGTAAATTTCACATACAGATCTGGAAAAATGGAGCCCAGTGATCTCTGCATTTGGAAGGCTATCAATTAATGTGTTCATAAATGTGTTGAAAGGATGAGGGTTAAAAATCCATTGTTATCATACAGCGTTATATGTGATAGCTACAGAAAGAAAACATATCACCTGGAAGAATTTAAGTAAGAAGATACAAGACTTAGATATTTTGAAATCTCTTAAAACCTTTTTTTTGAGACAAGGTACTTACTGTAGTGGCACAATGGATGTCTTTCCATACTGTAGCCTCTCTAGATAGATCAGAAACTTCAAAAAAGTTATCAAGAATAACTTCCCCAATCATATCATGTCTGGAAAACCTGTCAAAATCATACACGCTGAAATGTAGCTTCCTGTTGCAAAGTTGATCATAGGCCACAGGAAACTGAAAGGTTTCATTAAAGACGGGGTTTAAAGTCTTCCTATGAACCCGTGTCTGAAACTTTTTTTTCCTGTCTGGAAGAAGGTAGATTTTCACATACGGATCTGAGGTTCCTGTAAAGTCTTTAGCTGGTAACTCCAAAGCTTTAATGATGGTGACCAAAAGCAGTTCATTTTCATAATCATATTTGAGGATAAAGTTGAGTTTTCCACAGGTTTTCACATCCTCTTTCTTGCCTTCAGAATCCACAGACTTTTGCTTGTAAAGCTCAGGTTTTATCCGTCCAATGCTGGTTGTTGTCTCCCCTCTTTGTAAAACTGGTTCTGGACCCATGTTAAAATCAATGCTGGACACCTGCATTTGCCTTGGCAAATGTCTTCTGAAAGAGTTGTGCCTGCATTAAACAAACAGAAAGAAATTAGCTTAGATTGTCTTGAAGGGAAAGAAAAATAACTTGGATACTATTAAAAATGAAAGAAGTAAATCAGCACTTCAATATTATTGTTACAGCTCTCATGAGGGAACAGTTATTAACAATGCTAGATAATCCAGGAAGATAAGTCAGTAATTCAGTTCAAGAAGAATAATGATAATTCCGAAAAGGAGAATTAGGTATATCAGAGGAGAGGGAGGGAGAAAAAAAGGCAGAAATGCAGAATAAATAAATTAGAGAGAGGGTAAGAAAACTTACAAGAAAAAGAAATGAGGAAAGAAAAACCCATCTCCCAGTTCCACCCCAGTAGTCATCCTTCAAGTAGTAGTCCTTGACTTACAACCACAACTGAGCCCAAAATTGAGTGACGTTTGCGCCATTTTACAACCTTTCTTGCTACAATTGTTAAGTGAATCACTGTAGTGGTTAAGTTAGCAATAACTAAGCTGATAAGTGAATCTGGCTTTCCCATTGAGTTTGTTTGTCAGAGGTGATCACATGACCACGGACACTGCAACCATCATAAATATGTACCAATGGCCAAGCGTCTGAATTCTGATCACATGACCATGGGGATGCTGCAATGGTCAAGAGTGTGAAAAATGGTCATAAGTCACTTTTTTCAGTGCCATTGTAACTTTGAAGGGTCACTAGTGGATTGTTTTAAGTCAAGGACTACTTACGAGTCAAGGACTCTACGATTTGTAGAAGAGTATGAGCTTGAAAAGTAAACTAGGAAATTAAAATAAATAAAATGAACTAATTAGCCCTTCAATTCTCCCCTTGTTTTCTAGAAGAAGAGTAGCCATTCTGTGTTGTTGCCATGGGTCCAGTGGTGGGATTCAGCTGGTTCGCATCACTTCAGCAGAACTGGTAGCTAATTTTTTGTTGCCCACCACTGCATGGGTCATAAGGATATTGGAAGCTAGGCTGACTCAAAGAAGTTTTTATTTTTCATTTTCCTATTTTATGTGGCCTTTTTATATTGCATGTTTGCCCTTCATCAAAACGGGATAACAACCACTTCTGGAAGACAGAAATAGATGACATCCTCTTCTATTAAACCCGTACTCGATGTCAAAGACAGTTTAATGTTTTTTTTCTGTCTTTCCAAGTATACTTTTCTATATTATGTTGCCGTGGGGGTCCATAGAGCACTTAGGATTGTTGTTAGCTAAATGCTGCATTTCAATGCTACTTCATAAAAGCAGGAGTGCACCATCAACTGAATCAGTGCTTATTCTGCTTTTTGACACAATTACAGCTCATTTCCTCATGAATGCTGTAATAGAGCAATGGTCATAATACCTGCCTTGTAAATAGAAGATGGTTGGTTCAAACATGGGGCAGATTTTTTTTTTTTAATTACCATTTCTCTTCCAACTTCCAACTTTTGCCTCTTGAACAAAAATGCCAGTCTGAAGTAAAGAGGAGCAATGAAGCTTTGGCCTGTTCTGTCTGTCCCGTTTCCTGTCTACATCGCCTTTGAATGCTGAAGCAAAATGTCTTTCTGTGCAGATGCCCAGCAGCATCTTTTTGAAGCACCACATGTGGTTGCTTAATAATGCAAGAAGAGGTGCTTCATAGGGTGCTCCGTACATTCTGAAGCATCTTTCAAAAGATTTGTACAGTTCTGCTCTCTGGTTCTGCTATTTCCTAATCTGAAGAAGCCCCTAGATTTGTCTTCTTTTGGAACCTAATAGAAGCTTGGAAGCCTGGGAAGCTGTTAATAATTAGCAGATGGTTGTAACATATACTATGGACCTTCACAGGTGACCTTCTTACTAAATGAATGCACATGAGTATTTTAATGAAATTCTTTTCTTATTTGGGAAAGAAAATCTTGAAACAAATGCCATTTTATTAAATGGACTGAGATGTGCTAGAAAAATAGACCAAGATGTGCTAGAAAAAAATGTATATGCAGAATTCTTCTGCAGAATTCTTCTGCATAGCTCTATTTAAAACACCTGTACTGAATACATAACATTGTTCCCTTTGGCTTCTATTGTTAGCAACTTCATAGCTTGCTTAGGTTGGATGCTACAGAGAGAGTTATTCCCTGGATGATATAATATCATCATATTCAATGATATTTGTGCTCTAATGACACAGTGGTTTGCGTCAGTTTCTGAATCCCAACATTTCATGGAGACAGCTGATTGATGTGTTAATTACTCAGATGTGTTTTGTTCCCATAGCAACGTGGGAATGCTTTTCTGAACCACAGAAACTATGGGATTTGTACGATTGCCCTACAAAGGTGTCAGGAGCACAGCTAATTAGAAAGTGCACACTTAACAGCTCACATCTGCTATACTGTTCCTCCCACATCTGCCATATCCCTACACTTTGATTTGTTGCTTTGCCTGGATTGATCTTCGTTTTTTGGAGCCTTGAAGGCAAACCAAAAATGGTCCTCCATGTCCTAAAGAATTTAAACACATAAATTCTCAGCAGCATCTTGTCAGATCTGTAGCTCCACTGAAATTGTCCAGTGGGAATTTGTGCCCCAGGAACAATAGCAGCGGAAAGTTGCCAGATGAATTGCTCTTGCAGATTTACTATAGTGGAACCTCAGGTTTTTTTTTAAAATTAAAATAGCATAAACTGGATGTATTTAATTCCTCTCCTTTCATGGAGTGGGATACTTCAAAATATCTGAGGTTCATGTTCCTTTTAGACAAGAACAGCCAATTTCAGAAAACGCAAAGGAATGAGTAAATTTACTGAAACAATTTATGTTTCAGATTGACTCTTGCATGGAGTTATTCTCTTCTGGCATGGCTCCAGTTTTGCTTGAGGGTCTGTGATATCAGCTTTTCCTGCCCAATAATGCCACCTGTGCTCTCACCCTACAGCGGACCTGAATCAAGGCATTGCTATCCTATCTACTTCCATCACTTCCTTCTTTCCTAGATGTCACCTTTAAGACCTCTACTCCACTCTCTCCTTGCCAGGCCACAGCTGCAGGTTCTTTCTAGCATTAGACTCCTGCCTGGTTATGCACAATATTCCAGATCCAGTATCAGAGGGAAATGAAATCAGAACAATAGCAACATAATGCTTTTCCGCTGGCTCAGTTTCATGCATTCAGCTACAAGTCAAACAATTTAATCATGTAACGAGACATGAGTTGATAAACAAGCTACTCAACTTAGATGGTGGTGGTTTCTTTCATTCATTTAGTGGCAGCAGAAACCAACATGCAATGGTGCCTTTGGGCTACAAGATTAGGGGGGGCATTTGGCAGAGGGACCAGGAATAGAAGAATATTCAAATTCAACAGAAATTATTTAGCATGTTTTGAATAAATAACACAGCATATTTTATCAGTTAGATGTAGATTAGATAGGATCCCTTAAGATCATGAAGTAACTCTATAAAGAGAGCAGCACCATTCAGATGATTGTTTCCAGGAATGGAGCACATAACTCCAGAATCTAGAATCATGTAAGAAGGTACAGTATATCAGGTATGGTTTTGATGACTATATGGTAACTTCAAAATAAGTCTATTTGATAGAGACTAGCATTGAAAGAAAGCTAACACTCTCTTGTCCATTCTTCTGAGTTCCTGTAGCATAGAATGTTGGACTAGAATAGACCATCCACTAGCAGACAAATTGGAACTTACATGAACATTTCAGTAAATGATCATGCTGAAAGAAACTTTAATTTAGGGTTTTGAGCTAACCATTGATGGTGGTGATTTATGGAAACACCATCCATATTTAAAATAATCTCAGTTATTCACAAGATAGCCATTCAATGAAGGTTTAAGAGCAGAGACTATGTATTGCTGAAATAACTAGGATATATATCATTACAAAGTTTTTTCTTCAGGCAAATCATACATGGTTTGTAGATTCATAGAATGTGAGTTCTATGCAAATTGCTTGTCCAGTGCCAGAATCTACTATTACTTCCATTCAATATCTGTGCTGAAAATTGCAGTTATCTTGGTTTGGCTGAATGTGCAACTTACTAACCTCAGTTCTGATCTGGAAAATTATCTGAGATCTACGTCCTAACCCAATAGTTAGATTCCAACATTTTAAAAAACAAGACTTATAAGTCTATGAATTTGCTTCACTAGTTTTACTGCAGATACTCAGTCTCACATTTCCTGAACCAATATAACATAATGTTATACTGGGAATGTTGGGAATTTTCTAAGCAGCAACAACAGCAGATGCTTCCAAAGAGCTATAAATTAAAGGGAAATAAACACAAGCATGTGTATTTTGATAGATATAATCACAAAAAGGCTTTTAATAATGAGTGCTGAGAAAGGCACAGAAGAAAATTTGAATACATAATTGTGCACACATTTAAAAAGTATTTAAAATTGAATGGCAAAAATCATTATGATTGGGAAAATGAGACAATGAATGAAAATGTAGTATTTAGTAGACAGATTTATTCATCTCTACTTGCCAATTCCTCTGGATAGGATGCTAAAATGCTGTCTCATGTCCAGTGAATTGTGTTGATCACCCTCGAGAATGTAAGTTCTACCAGGAGATGCTGGGAGCTGAACCTCTTATCTTATGGATACAAACAATATAGTTTATCTTTGTTCAGTTACAAGGTTGGGCATAATAGCTTAGAACCTTCAATTAGAATAGAGCTGGAAGGGATTTTGGAAGTCTTCAAGACCAAGTCCCTATTCAAGTACTATAACATTTCAGACAAGTAGCTGTCCAGTCTCTTCTTAAAAACCTTCAGTGATGAAGCACCCACAACTTCTCAAGGCAAGCTGTTCCACTGGTTAATTCTTTTTATTGTTAGGAAGTTTCTCCTTAATTACAGGTTGCTTTTCTCCTGGATTCCATCACGGCCTAAATAAATTCTTGTGGATTATTCCCTACATAGTAAGAACATTCAATTTATAAGAAAGCATTATTGTAATCTTGAATAAATAGGAAAACCAGCAGCGGTAATGGACAGGTTGCAAGG